TGGAGGGAACCTGGCAGGAACAGGGTGTGACCTAAAGGCAGTAAGGTCCTGGAGCCAGGGGTATTGAGAGGCCTAGCCAGGCCCGGGCAACTGAAGACATTCCCAGGTCAGAGATTATGCCCTTCACAGGTTCTGTAGGATTTATATCCAGGTGATGTAGTCTACTAATGGGATGTAAACCTAAAGTCACCTGAGGAACACCTTTCATCAGGCAGGGTAACCTGTGGCTGTGTGATGTTCTCATTGGGAAATTAAGGCAAACTTGTCATTTGAGGTGCTGGGGACTTTGACTAATCTAGGCTCGTCCCTGTAATCCTCCCTCCCTTCAACGGCTAGTTTAGCATTGGGACTGTGACCCTACAAGACCAGAGCGGAGTCAGCCAAGCCTTCTGGGAGAGGGCAGGATAACTGGTAGTGCCTCAGCCATCCTTCCGCCCAGCCAGGGGTCAAGACAATACTCAGATGGCAGGGCACTTGATGCCATTGTTGGACTCTGCAGCCACCATATCCCCCAACTTCCTGGTAGGTAAAATAATGCATTGCCTTATGGTTTAAGCTGGCTATGTACTTGCAGCCAAGAGAATCCTAAGGGAGCCAGAGGCTTTACCCAGGTGGGAGACTTGACCAAATGGCCCTCCTGACCCCTGCGAGAGGCCAGGCACAGGTGGACACAAGGACCTAGACCCTGATCCAAGAAGGCACAGAGCATCACTGCCTGCCACATCCAGATGCCACCTTTAAAATATTGGGGCCTCAGTGCCTCTCTGCTAGGCTGAGCATATGTGCAAGCAGGCGTTTAGCTTTTAGCCTTCCCTGAGGGGTCATTGGGAGCCCTGGTGGTGCAGCAGTTAAAGCGCTCATCTGCTAACCAAAAGATTTAGCAGTCTACTTCTGTAAAGATTTACAGCCTTGGAAACTCTATGGAGTAGTTCTACTCTGTCTTACAGAGTCATTATGAATTGGAATTGACTTGATGACAGTGGTTTTTTTTTTTTTTTTTATTTGAGAGGTCATTACTGCTAAGATTGAGTCTGACCCTCCGTCTTGTGCCTGGATGTAGAACTGTTGACTGAGCCTGGATCCCCTAGGCCCCAAACTTCAAGCACATCCTCTCTCATTTCCAGGCAGAACTAATCCTAATTGCGGTGGGACACCTCCGTGGGAGCATGGCAATGAAAAGAACTTGCTGTCTAGACACCCACCCACCCACGTTTTCTCCTTTGTCTGACACAGCTCCCTGTCAGAGTGTGTCCGGGGTACTCAGTAAACAGCAAGAACCGGTACTTCCCCAAAGGCCACCCAGCCATCCATTCTGTTCAATCAGCATTCCACTGACATAATGCTTACCAAGGCCACTCCTGGCCAGAACTCTGCCAGCGCATCTGACAGGGCACTGCCCTTGCTGTTTGTCAACAGTGGAAGGGGACAGAGCTACCTTCTTCAGGGGACCCTGGACAAGATCACTAATCTCTAGTGGCTTGTTATGTTCTGTGTATGGTTTCCAGGGCAGGGGGGGAGTCTAGATTGCTCCCCCCAGCCCCTGGGAGCGTGCTTGTCAGGAAAGAGGACTGTGAAATCTTGATGCCTCCATCCGCTTGCAGCTGGCAGTGCGGGCAGGTCCTGCCAAGGAAGATGACCTCATTGGAGGGGCAGAAGATCTTCTGCGGGGCTGGTTTCTATGCCGCCATCAGTAGAAAGGAATGGCTCTCAAATAGGCTCCTGTTCCTAATGAGGTCTGTGCTGGGACATGGGGCCTGGAAGCCTGAAGCAGAGTAGAGACCCTGACCCTCCTCTGTGGACTAATGCAGGACACCACTCCCATGGAGGGCTGAGGCTGGCATCGAGGGAAAGGGGTTCCGTTCTTAATGTGGGTCTCTCCCATTCTGTCTCGGAGGCATATGTGCTGATTTATGATGTTCAGGATGACCAGGAAAGGTTTCCATCTCTTTCTACACCTCACATCCTTGGGAAGATTTCAAGGTGACCCTGGCCAAAGCTGTCCCTGGATTGTCCTCATTCTTCCCCCTCTTCCCCCACAACATGGAGCTGTTCCAGATCAGGGCTGCAACTCCTGGGCTTCAGGGATGAGGCTGGTAACAATCATGAAGAATAGGTAGGTGGAGGGCAATAGGGAGTGGTGGGGACTGTGTTAAGATAGATTACAAGCCAGACCTAAAAGACCTTCAAGTTCAACTAAAAACAAAACACACTAAACAAAACAAGTGTTCAAGTGGAGCTGGCCCTGTGGCCCTTGGTTTGTGTCTTTGGGATCCAAACTGAATAAGTAGACTTGAGCAAAGAACCACTGGAGATTTCTGTGTCACCCATTTTACTTGGAGGAGGAGGGGTGATCAGAGTGGGAGGTAAACACCTGTGGGTGGGCAGTATTTCCCAGAAGAGGAATTGAGATTTGAACTATGGAGGTTTGAAGAAATAGGAAGTGCTTTTTTTTTTTCTTTTTTGAGAAGAGGGTAGGTGATCAGGGCTGGAAGTTGGAATGTGTCTACAAGACACATGGAATGTTTAACTGTAATTTTTGATGTATCTGTGTCTGATTTATCCACTCAGCCTTGTGGGGTATCACTGTGGGGACCAAAGGATGGGCTGATGGAGGGTGGTCCCTTTCACCCTTGGGGTCCCCATCTGGTAGAGCAGCATACCAGTAAGGAGTGTAGCCTTCTGAGGCTGGGGGTGATGTTGAGCTGCTGCCAGGGTCTACTCAGGAGTGTCAGGGAGACAAACCCCCTTTCCCAAAAATATGCTAAGGTATGTGTCCCAAAGTGTGCAAGATATTTTAGTTACCTGGACATGGCAGAACATATCATCGACTCACAAAATGAGAGAGCTCTTCCTTTTCAATTCTTTTTTCCTCCTTCTGATTACATCAAAAGAAAGGTCTCTGTGCTAGTCTGTCTTAACACTTTGTAACACTTGCTAATCAGCTTCAGCCTCAGCACCTATTACAGGCAGTAGTATCTAGAGTTTGATAACAGTTTTTTGCTTTCATTTTACGTATTTCGGGCAGTTATCTTTGATCTATGGCACGAGATGTTGGTTTTTCCATTTATGATAGTGATTTAGAGTATCCTTAATAAACTTAGGTAAATATTAAGCACAGTATAGGGAAATAACTGTAGTGGTAGTAGGAGGATATATTACAGACCATCAGCATGGCAGAGAAGTGAGGGAGGTTTGGGTAAGCATTGTAGAACATGATCCTTGGAGTAGGTGAGGCTGAGTGTCACTCATCTCTTGAGGAGGATGGAAGCACATGAGGAATAGGTGGGAGAACCCTGTAGGTCCCAGGGCCAACACCTAGCTGGAACTAGTCTGGGCTGCCTGTTCCCCTGAGCCTTCAGGATTCAACTGAGATGCCACTTCTCATGGGAAATCCTCCAGATTCCTGGCTCTGGAGTCATCCCTCTCCTTGAAACTGGTGACCATCCATCTTCCTTTGGAATCAACTGGGCCATCAGAGGTCCCAAAAGCAGATACCCACTAGGTATAAGGGGAGGTGCCCATTTAGTGGATGATAAGCAGAATGTGGGCTCAGTGTGGCCCAAACTGCCAATATCTCAAGAAAAGTTGGAAATCAAAAATTTTATGTGAAATGTCCCCATGTTTAAGGTTGACAAATTTAGCTTTTAGGAAACCACTCTCAAGGCCAAATGAACCATGCCTTAGGGGCATGAGACAGCTGGAAACATCCATGTGAAGATGGCCGTCATGCTGCAGCATCCTCACACCCAGGCCCTGGAAATGACAAAACTGAGGATTAAAAATCACAGCTTGAGGGAACTGTGCAAGTCATGTGTTTTCCCACAAGACTGGCCCTCCTGGGGGCAGGGAGGGGCCTGAGTCATCTCTGGGTACTCATTCCCTGGCCAGGGCCACCATGGTCCTGCCCATGTAGAAGATCAAAAGGGGCAGTTGTCCACCTCTGGGGCAGTGAGGCAGAAGTTGGGGGTCTCATAGCAGGGCTGGTCCCACATACACATGCCTGGGAGCCCCAAGGGTGAGGAGAGAAGGTCACTGTGCTGTGGGACAGCAGGTCTGCAGGATGGGGACTCCAGGCAGCAGGAGGGTCAGGCTTTTGCTCTAGGAGAGGGGGGATTCCAGCTGGGGATGGCCTTTGACTTTAAATTTGGCCCAGGAGGGAGTGAGGGAGGACTCCTCGGAGGCAGGGTTGGAAGGGCCAGCAAAGCCTGTTTCAGGCTGGGGGACCTGGATGCAAAGGCCACCGAGGCTAAAGTGCCCCTGCGGATTCAGGAGGTGAGGCAACGGCCCGAGTGTCCTCCAAGAGGAAGCTCGCAGGTCTGGGAGGGCGAGGCTCTGCTCAGAGGCTGCAGTGGAGGGATGGGGAGGCAGAGGGAGGGACAGGGAAGCCTGGCAGAGAGGAGTCGGGGCAAAAGCTGCTGATCTTTGGAGTAGCCCCTGGGCTGCACCCTTCTATAACGGCGTCCTTCGGCCTCTGGGGCCTCCCCTGGGACCCTGCAATTAGCCTGCAGCTCCCGTTTCCCCACGCCCTGTCCCGCCCTAGGGCGCAGGGAGAGGGTGTTGGAGCCCCCAGGGTGGACGGGTGGGATGCGGATGCCGAAGGACTCCTGGGTGGGGTTGCTCGGTTCGGAGCAGCTCCTCCGAGGTCGTGCGCCGCGAGGGCGCGGGGCGCGCCAAGGGTGGCCGGCGGCGGGACTCCCCCCGCGCGGCCCATGGTGCTTCTCTGCTGCCGCCTCGGGGTGTCTCTGCTTCGCCGCTAGCGGAGAACGGCGGCGGCGGCGGCTGCGCTAGGAGCAGAGCGGGAGGCGGCTGCGGCCGCGCCAAGAAGCGCCGGGTCACCGCAGGCTGAGGCGCCTGCCGTCCCCGCCCTCCCTCTGCTCGCCGCTCCTCCCGCCCGCTCCCTAGCCGCCGCGAGCCCGGCCCTCTCCCCGCCTCCCTCCGGCTCCCCGCCCTCCCTCCACGCCGCGCCTCCTCCGCCCCGCGCCCTGCGGTGCTGCAGCTGCGGGCGGCTCCAGCTGCCCCCAGATGTGGACTGGGAGGCGCGCGGGCAACTTTCGCGCCGGCTACGAGTGCGGGGCCCGGGCTGCGGTCCGGCTGCCATGGATCCGCCGGCTGGCGCCGCTCGCCGCCTGCTCTGCCCCTCGCTGCTGCTGCTGCTGCCGCCGCTCCTGCTGCTGCCGCCGCCCGCGAACGCCCAGCTCGCCGCTGCCGCTGCCGCCGCCGACCCCCCGGGTAGGTGCAGCCCAGCCCCCATGCCCGCGACCTCCGTCGGCCGGCCAGCCCGCCCGCCCCGCCGCACCCCCATGCGCGGTCCACCCCGACTTGGGCAAACTCCGTGCGCCCCGCCCGGGGCCAAGTTGGCCAACTTCGAGGCTGGGCTGGTCGCACAGGGGGCGCCCCGCGGCGCAGCCGGGCTCCTCGGGCCGGGGGGAGCCTGGGCGCACTCGCGGCTCCTGGGACGCGGCGTGTGGAGACTGAGGGCCGGCAAAGCCCGGCAGCGAGAGCGCAGCACCAGCCCCAGCGGGGCTGGGGGAGCCAGGGCGAGGCGGCGCCCAGGCTTGCGTCCGGGGACGCTCAGGAGGAGCCCCGGTGCCGAGCTCACCGCCTCGGCCCTGGAGACTAGTTGAGGCGATCCGGAGGGGATCCCCGGAGATAGGAGGGACTCTGCTCCATCGCTCCCATTCTCGAGCGTCCTGGGAGAGGGACCCCACAGCAGGCTGACCGGCCGCTGAACACGGAGGGCAGGCCTCTCGGTGCCCGTGGGAGCTGAGTCCTCGCCGCTCCAGAGGCGAGCGATGAGGGCGCTAGGGCGGCGGGGCCGCTGAAGGGTCGAAGCGCACTGGTAGGGGCCAACTGGGAAAGACTTCCAAGCAGCCTCATGTCCTGCCAAGGACGGTAAGCTTAATGGGTCAGGGGACGCTCTGGAGGTGCCGTCCTCTGGGGAATTGAGGGACACCCGCGGAGCCCCAACCCGGAGAGGGGCAGGGGCAGGGCTCCTAGCTGGCAGGGTCCCAGAAGGGGACGCCCAGGGACGGCGGGGCTCCAGTCTGCTGGTCCTGTTAACGCCCCTTCCCGGTTGCAAGAAGGCCCGGGGAGGTGCAGGCTCGCTTCTGGGGGCTGCCAGGCGGAAGGCTGCTTCACTTCGCAGTGGGGGCAGGGCTAGGGGTGTGGAGCCCCGTCCCAGCCGGTCTAATGCCCCTTCCCGTTGCAGGCGGACCCTTGGGGCATGGAGCGGAGCGCATCCTGGCGGTGCCGGTGCGCACTGACGCCCAGGGCCTCTTGGTGTCCCACGTGGTGTCGGCGGCTACAGCCGGGGCGGGGGTTCGGACCCGCAGGGCTGCCCCAGTCTGGACCCCGGGCTTCCCCAAAGGCAACGAGGAAGACCCTGGCGGCCGCCTCTTCTACAATGTCACGGTCTTCGGCAGAGACTTGCATCTGCGGCTGCGGCCCAACAACCGCCTCGTGGCGCCTGGAGCCACGGTGGAGTGGCAGGGCGAGTCGGGCGCCACTCGCGTGGAGCCCCTTCTTGGAACCTGCCAGTACGTCGGGGATGTGGCCGGCCTGGCCGCAGCCTCCTCTGTGGCGCTCAGCAACTGCGACGGGCTGGTGAGTCCCCACTGTTCTCCTCCAGTCCCTCCTTTGGGCTTCGGAGGCCAGTGTCCTGGGTGTCCCCTGGGAGGGCAGGGCTTGCCCTGAGGACCTTCTCTACCTCCCCGGTGCTTAGGGAGCCATGCCACCACTGAGGGGTTGGCTGGAAGGCAAGTTATTTTGATTGTTCTGATAAGGGGGCCATATATTGGGGGAGGGGGGCAGGGTCTCAGGAGCTCCCATCAAGTAGCAGAGTGTCTTTGTGTCTCTCTGGCGCCTGCCTGCACGTTTGTCTTGCGTCTAGGTGTGGGTTGGTGTGTGTGTGTGTGTGTGTGTGTGTGTGTGTATTTGCATGTGTGTGTCTGCACATGTGTTTGGGTATGTCGGGGTGCATTGCATCTGGGTGCCTGAGCATGTGTGTGTATACGTATGTGTGCCATTGTGCCTCTGCTCACATGTGCCTCTGGGTTCCTGCTCATGTGTGTGTCAGAGTGTCTAGAAAGTGTACGATCCTGTGCATTTTTGCATGTGGGATATGTGTGTGGTGGGTATGTCTGCAGGTGGTGCCAGCCCTGGGAGCAGGCAGTGGTGCTGAAATGCCCCGTTAGCCCTCTGCCCCCCCGGCTGACTGGAAGCCACTGATATTTACTCTGTGGTTTCCTGCTGAACTCCAGTTCATTATTTGAAAAGTAGGTTTTCTCTCCCTGTTTTGAGCCAAGGGGAGCATGTGAAAATGCAGGCTCTGGTGCCCATGGGCTGCTCAGATCTTTTGGGGGGGCAGGCCCTGATGGACGGGAGAGGTTGGGGGGCCCTTTGGGGACTTCCTGGACCACTCGGTGTGACTCGAGCCGTGGGAAGTTCTCCTGCATCCTAGGGCCCAGAGGGATCATCACTTGGCACCAGGGGGCCTCAGAGGAAGCTTGGATTGATGCTCAGGGAGGAGGGTGACATTGGCAGTGTTCTGTCCAGCCGCTCGGGACCTGGCACACAGTAGAAGCCACTGCAGTTTTCTATTTTGGATTGGGTGTGCGGTGGTCAGGTTGACTCTGCTAGCCAGACATCTGAAGCCGCCCACCGTGGGCTCCGCTCTAATTGCTGCTCAGGGCACTCCTGGTCTAGTGAGTGGCTGCTCTCCCAGCCCTGCCGACCCCTGCGCACACCCGTCCTTAGCAGCCAGGGCCTGTCCTGCTGTCTGCAGAGCCAGCAATTAGACCAGAGCCCAGTGGCTGCTGGCGTGCTTTTTATGGAGACACAGGAAACTTCACTTGTTGCTTAGGAAAATCACTGCCTTTGGATGGATTTAGAACCCAAGCGTGTTGCAAAAAAAAAAAACTATAAACGTCCTTGGAGGAGTTGGGTTAAAACGGTGCAACCCTTTGTAGTTGCTGTTGTCTCTGAGGACATCCTGGGCCTCGTAGGTGTGTCTCATTTTATACTGAAGGTGAATTTCTTAAATGAAAGGAAATCAGTGCTGGGGACTCTGTGGAGGGCGGGGGGAGGAGGTGTGGTGGTGGTGGGTAACACGCATGTGGTGTGTTGGTGCCTGCCTACTGTGTCCTAATTAATTCCTGATGGAGAGCATTTCAGAGAGACCTTGCCACTGTATCATTCATTCATTTGGTCATTCATTCATTCGTCCAGCATGTGGTATTGCATTTGTCCTCTGTACTGGTCAGAGACATGGCAGGCCTGGTACCCAGCCTGGGCTCACACTCTCAGGATGGCTGACAGGCTGAGGGACTCTCTGGCCAGGGAATTGAGTGTGTGCTCCTGAGGGGCTCTTTGAATGGAATGAGTTGTCCACTGAAAAAGGTGCAGTTGGCCATCTGGGCAGAGTGAACAGCATATGCAAAGGTCCCAGGCATGAACTGGCTTGGACAGGACAGGCATGGTGAGAGGTTACATGTGCTGGACACACATGGGCAGAGATTCCAGTGTACCTGCCCTTGCTGTGTCCACAGTGACCACTGCAGGGTCACAGCAGGCAAGCATGCTCTTGCATCTTAAGTTTGGATGCTCAGGTGGAACATGACTCTCAGAGGGCCACAGAACCTTTTAGACCTATTGACGTCCCCTGGCTTGAGGCACACATTTGTTCCTCGACTTACCTGGCCCTGAAGGCATATGAGTTTGTTTCACTGCTTTAAAGGATGGCAGTTTTAACCGTCTTTAGTGTGGAGAGTTATTTCTGATCTATTTAGTGCAGCGGGATTCTTATTTCATTGCATTGATCAGGGGATGCGTTCAATTGCAAGTGACAGAAAATGTAAGCCAAGTTAGTGTAAGCAGGAAGAGAAAGTAAATAGCTCACATAATGGAGAAATCTTCAGGCATGGCTGGATCCAGGTGCTCCTCACAGGTTATCAGGACTCTTGCTGTCTCTTGCCTCTGCCCTCCTATGTGTTGGCTTTGTTCTCAGATAGATTCCCTCTGAGATGAATCCGAGGGCCCCAGAAGTGCCAGGCTGACATCCTTTACTGGTAACTCCAGCTGAACCTTGGGTGTTGCTCTGGCCAGGCCGGGGTCAGCTGTTCCTGTGGGAGTCAGGGCATGGGGTTTGCAGAACTCCATAGGCTGAGAGTGCAGGAGGTGCTGCCACCCAAAGTGGCATGAAATAGTTTTTCAGAAATCAATACCCTGGGCCAGCCAAAGTGATAATTCTACTGGAGGCAGGTAGAGGTGCAGGTCCAAGGTACGCCCCATGAAGATGTGCTTTATAAGACATGTAAGCACTTTATTTCCAGAGAGGCTGGAAAATGTAGCAATTCCAGGTTCCCTTACAGCCATTGTTCAGAATATTCACAGGTTAAAGTTTACCTTTACATGAGGCATGAGAAAAAATGCTGAGTGAAGGATTCTTGTATGTCACATTGCCTTGAAGAGTTTTCTAGTACCTTTTGGGCTACATGATGTTATTGTTAGGTGCTATTGAGTTGATTTTTGACTCATAGCGACCGCATGCGATGGAGTAGAACTGCCTCATAGGGTTTTTTAGGCTGTAGTCTTTATGGGAGCAGATCGCCAGGTCTTTCTCCCGTGAAGTCGCTGGGTGGGTTCGAACTGCCAACCTTTCAGTTAGCAGCTGAGTGCTTAACCATTGTGTCACCAAGGCTCCTACAGCCTACATGGTAGGTGTGCTAATCTCACATGATTGTTACATGCTCCTTAAAAACCCAACGAAAAGCCTGTTGGCATAAAAGGTAACAATAGTAACTCACACTTTACCGCGCCCCTACGTTGTACCAGGCTCTGTGCTAAGCATCTTATGCCTCATTGCCTTGTTGGATCCTCACAACACTCTATGGAATACGTCCTAATATTGTCCCCATTCTACAGACAAATAAATGGAGACTGCAAAAGTTGAGGTGGCTTACGTTGAGCTTCGCAGCCAGCATTTGAATGCCTATCTGTGTGATTCCAAGGCCCTACTCACTATTGTGCCTTTTGGGTATGTCAATAAAAAAAATAGAAATGAAGAACTGCGCTTCTTTAAAACTTTTGTGACCTTTCCTACTCTGACTCCTGGGGACTTTCCCAGTCAGGTGCATTTATTGTCCACAGTGTGGGGCAGCAGGAACCGGGGAGCAGGCCCTCGTGGCCCGCTCACTAGCCAGTGGACTGCTGTGGGCTGCAGCTCTTCATCGGTACCTTAGGACCTAGGAATTGTGCTGCAGCCCGATCACAGTGGGGACGCCAACAGGACGGCCTGCAGTTTGTGGCTGGGCGGGGCCAGCAGAGGAAGCCTCTGCAAGCTGGGGAGTGGGAAGGATGTGACCTCTGAGGCCTGGTCCTCTGATCCTGGGGCCTAAGAGAGGTGCACACCCTTCCCTGGGGGCGCCATATGAGCCCCACGACCTTGTGAGGCAGAGCCCTCATTGTATGGCACAGGCTCAGAGAGGCCCACGAGCTGCCTGAGGTCCTACGGCAAGATGAAGCTGGAGCTGCTGCCTTGGGGGCTAGGGCTCCCCTGCCAGCTGCCATCTTGACCGGCACCCACCCTGTGCAGTCTTGCTGGACATTAAGAGTTACCAAGGGCCACAGGGAGCCCTGGTGGTGCAATGGTTAAGCTTTCAGCTGCTAACCAAAAGGTTGGCAGTTTAAATCCACCAGCCACTCCTTGGAAACCCTGTAGAGTAGTTCTGCTCTGTCCTGTAGGGTCATTATGAGTCAGAATTGACTCGATGGCAATGGGCTTGGTTTTTTAAGAGCCACAGAGAGAAGCCATTCGCTCCTAAAGGGACTGAGGTGAGGTTCATTTTTCCTAAAAAGGCCACTGCATTGAGGCCCACAACAGGGCTCCAGACAGCTCAGGGGTTAGAGGGGGGCAGGCAGGTGCAGATGGGTCCTGAGGCTGTGGGACAGGGGTGCCTGGGACTTGCAAGCAAAGTCCCTGCCTGGGGTCCAGGGTCTTCCTTCCTCCCACCCTGCTCTGGCACTGCCTGGAGGACAGTGAGGGGGGTCTCAGGAATACTGAAGAGGAGCCGTGGAAACTCCTGGGCTCCCTAGGTCTTGGGGCTCCTTAGGTCAGGGTGGAAGCCCCCTGTTTGGCCCCTGCCCTTAGGAATCTGCACATCTGCCCAGGGTGGTATCAGCCTCCCCCATGGCTTATTACCACTCTTGTTGTTTAAGATTCTCTCAGTTTAAGTGACAGGAAACCAGCTCACATTGGATGACACAAACAAGGGACATGATGGCCCCAGTTATCTGGGGGAGTCCTGAAGAGAACCAGCTTCAGGCATAGCTGGATCCAGGGGCTCAGCATTAGTGTCAGAACATGCTTTCTGTCCCTCAGTTCTGCCTCTCTCTGTGTTCCTCTCAGGGTCATCCTCCCCATGTAGGGGCCACGAGTAGTCCCGGCTTAACCTGTCTCCCAAGGTGGCAATTCCTATGAAATGGAGAGCACTCCTTTCTGGATGATTCCCACAAGAGTCCTGAAGAGGGCTCTGATTGGCACTGCTTAGTCACAGGACTATCTTTAAATCAATTGCTGTGATAGGGGGCCTGGGCTGAGTCTCTTG